TGGTGTGTGTGTGTGTGTGTGTGTTTATTCATAAATGCATACATATTTGTATATAAGGTAGAGGTCGGCGGTGGGTGTGGGAAGGTGTTTCTGTACGTGTGGATGTATGCATTTGTATATATATTTTATAACATTGTGCGCCAGCCAACCAATTAACAAGATATTTGCACTCTTCCATTGCCACACACCACAGAGACGTCTTCCTGGAGAAACATTACCAAACACCTCTACCCAAAACCGTACTAGACCCCTTCATAGAGCAACTGCGAGAGGCGCCCTTTCCGGAAGATGTACCACCAATCATGTCGCATGACGATAACTTTCTTCTGAGTATATATAGAGACCGAGTCTTTGTACTGGTTGTCTGTAGACAAGATGGTGAGTCTCGTGCAAACTCGGCTGCTCTTGAGTGTGAATTATATTATATATGTGTGTGTGTGTGTGTGTGTGTCGTGGATGAGCTGTATATTTTGTACAGGTGTTTCATGCACGCATAGACTGTGAGTCTACACTTTGCTGCTTTGCGGCCGTTCCCAATTGTCGAGATCGGTCGCTTGAGTACCCAGTTGAGATTAGGACAGGGATGGCAATTGGACCACCCGAAGTCCCAATTCTGGACATTCCACAGTACCAAATACTTATAATTGTGTTACTTCGTGCATATACATGCATATACCTACATACACATACACATGTATACATACATACAAACATACACATACATACATACATACATACATACATACATACATACATACAAACATATTCATATACATACATTCATTTTTATATACATACATAACTGTGCCTATCTCTTATACTTCACCCTGCACCGTACATGTGACAGTGCCGCCGCTTTCGATCTTCGAGTTTCTGCACCGAGTCGTTGACATCCTCACGGATTACTTCAAACACTTCACGGCCGAAATTGTGCGCCAAAACGCTGTCGTCGTTTACGAGGTATGGTACAAGCACGTGGTGGATGTGGGGGGTAGATAGATATAGGCAAAGTGGGTATAAATAGTCAAATGTAGATATAGGTAGACAACACAGACATAAATAGACAATGCCGATACGAATAGACAGAGCTTACCTTGTCGCTAGCCATCTATCTGTATGAGTGCGTATTCCAATACAACCATATATGCACTTTATTTTAGTTACATACCTTACCAAAGTAGTAGCTCTATAGGTTTGGACCTGGTAACTATGCGTCTTCCGTTCCAACTTATTCGCGCACACGTATGTTGTAGATTATATATATATATATATATATATATATGTGTGTGTGTGTGTATATATTTATATTTATATTTATGTTTTAAAAATATATATATATAAAGTACCAATGTATGAATACTGGTGTCAATAGCTCACCAGGCTCAAAAGCTAGATAAAACAAAGGCCTATTTATTCCCCCCTACTTATCTGACATAGGCGCTTAGACCAGCCTTGATAGCCTCCCCGCTTGCCCCTATCTAAATCTCGAGCATATGTCCATTAACAGGTGTTGGAGGAAGTTATGGATAATGGGTTTCCACTCTCGACCGAAAACAATGTTCTGAAAGAACTCGTTAAAGCTCCTACAATCTTGCGCGCGGCCAAAAGGGCCATTGGGATGGGCGGCGGGGGCAAGTAGGTGCTTATATGTATATGTATGTATGTATTTATGTATGTACGTAAATGTTTGTATATGTATATGTATAGATGTATATGTATATGTATGTATGTATGTATATATATATGTATGTATATATATATATATATATATATATATATATATTATACAGACAGAA